AGAGGGGACAAGCCTACCGGAAAAGCTGGGAGCCATGAACTCTTTTGAAGACCGTTTTGTTGTTGTTGTTGTTGTTGTTGTTGTTGTTTTAAAGTAGGATTCCTGACAGTGGGGGCAACCCCAGGGCCAATAAGTCTGACGGATCAGGGAGTATATTGTCAGACCTAGTTTGTAGAGAAAACCTACCTAGTGACCTACAATGCCATCTCCCTGCTTTTCAAAAATAGCAGGTTTCAGGCATGAATTTTGGAAACTTAGGACTCCATTTGGCTAACTTGACCTGTATGGACACAGCTTTAACTTAACATTGGTTGCAATGCATTTATTTCCCTTATGCCTTATTCCATTAAAAAAAAAAATCATTACGGATACAAGGGAAATCTCTCAGAAGTGATTATTACAGCCAGAGATTATACAAATAGATTTCTTAACGTAGAGAAACAGCACTTCATTGCACAGAGACGAAGTTCTAAGGACTTTAGTCAACATTAGCTCGGTAAGGTTAAAAAAAACCCCACAAAAACAAAAAAACCCAAAGTGTAATAGTTGGTCCTATGAGGCACTCGGAAGGTAAAAAAATGTTTTATTACCTTGAGATAATCAATAATAAAAATATTTTTCCTTATCGGATCTATAAAATCTAATGCTCATTGACCACTATCATCTTTACAAATAATTGGCTTTAAGCAACAACATTCTGATTCACAAAAGCTCCTCTATTCTCAAAGAAGATGGATAAAACCCAGTTTCATTTCAGCTGTTTCCATGGTCATCTTTCCCTCATTGGCCTTGGATTGGTACTGAGGTCTCCATGTGAAACAGATAACTTGTCCAGAGCAACTGCTCAGCAAAAGCTAAAGCTCACATTCAACTTGAAGACTGAAAATTCAACATGTAAACTTCTTCTACTTTCTTTACACTCTCTTGCGGGTCTTCATATAGTTTTTATTTGCTTGGCCCCATGGGGGCAGACCTTATACTGGCAAAGGCTTGTGAATTCGGGGAAGTTAGTGATCACCTTCCGGGCCCCCTTCCTCACACGCTGACGACAGAAGCAGACCAAAGGCATAGCCACTGTGGTCCTGACAGTGATAGACATGGGGAGACATAAGATGAGAGCCTCATTTGCTCCTCTCCAGAAGCAGAAAGCCTTGATTCCACTGTTTGAATGCTTACTTTGAAGATACCTAACTTGTAGGAGAACTATCTTTTAAAAAAAATTACAGAATGTCTAATTTCCAGAGTGTCCTAAACTCAGACTCCATGACTTCTTCCTAAAGAATGGCTCTACTGGTTGGGAGTTGAGAGAGTAAAATACCTGAAATAATTGTACATATGAAAATGGAGAATGGTTTATCCAGTTTCATTTGCTACCTCACCCAAAATCTTGCCCTGCCTTCCTGGAAGAGCTTGTATTACTCATGTGAGGATGGGGATTTTTCCTTCTAGGGGACGTGAGTGTCCACGTTGGTGTCCACACAGTTTGTGAAAAGGCTGTTAGCTGTTACATGTCTGTCATTACCATGTGTCCAGTTAGCAATTCTGAATCCAATTTCTATTCCTTCCAGATCACTCTAAGGAAAGCTGAATGAATGTGGTGAGAAGAAGACGAAAATACAATGAAATCTCGGCCTTTAGACGGCCAAACTCAGAAGAAAGGAAGCTTATTTCTAGTTCTGCATTAGTAATCACAATTGTTGCTTCCCTAGACACAGTTCTCTCATTTGCATATATAAAACATTTTGAAGTGGATGCTGCTTACGTTTCCAAAAATAAGTATTAGAGAACTAAAAGTAAGGAGATTTAAAACATAAAAGGCCCAGTCAAAAATGTCAATGTCCAAAATGACAACTCTTCAGAAACCGTTTTATACAGATATTTATGTATTTCTATCATTTCTATTACCAAAAACCAACTTGAGACCTATTGTGGGAGAAGGAGTTGATGACATACTAACCTCGATGTAATTTTGGTGTGGGTAATTTAAGTAAAAGAGTGTTACAATAAGAAAACTATATATTTGAAGTGAAAATTTACCCACAGCTATCTGTCATAAAGGTTCTGTTGACTTTAGCTCTTAATTCCCTTTGCCAAACAACTTTTAGTGAATTTTTGTTAAACTCAGGGTAGATTGTGTTGTGCACCACTAGATGGCACCATGCACAAATGATAGGTGGGTTCCCCCCCCCCCCCCCCCCCCCCCCCCCGCCCCCATCCAAAGGAAGTAAGCGCGTCCTTCCCCATAAGCTATGTAGAAGCCCTAGGAATCAGAGGCGGAACATGTCACATAGAATGATGAAGTGGCTCTCTATGAAATGAGCTGTTGAGTCTGGACCTTCTAAGTTTGAGAGCAATCTAACAGCTATTATTTTACTCCAAAGGAGAAGGAAATCAGAATTCGTAGTGAAAATTATTTGACATAAGTGGTGTGTTGTACGTAAGGGAGTTGCCATTCACTCGATGGGGAACATAACAGGTTCTATGACAGATGAGTACCTCACTTAGATGGAATCAACCACTCTTCCCTTTTCACGAGGCATGGAAGTTCCTTTGAGCATCCTTCAGATGTCTAATTCTTGATTTCCATAGATGACAGCTCCCAAACCAGGAAGGACGAGAAATCTTGAGAAGTTATTTCAAATGGAAGTAATGGACCATAGCTCTCTTTCTTCCTCTTCCTTTTAAAAAAATATCTATTTAAAAATCTTTTTATGTAGAATACAGTGTTATTATCTTTTGGTCAAATATGCATTGGTACACACCTTATCCACTGAACTTGTTTATTACTACAAACTCTTCCTTTCACATTAGCATAACATAGATTTATGTATGGTGCAGGGGGTGGCCTGAGAGAGATAGGTTCTAGAATATATGCCTAAAACAGAAGATAAGAAACAAAAGGAGTGAGAGAAGAGGCTCTATACCAGAGAATCAGTAGTTCCTCAGTGAGGAGGATGGAGGAGTCCTGGGAATATCAAGAAGTCACCAAAATAGAAGAGGAACTACATGTGTAAAGAAGGAGGGAAATATATAGAATGATTTCTCATTCAACTCCAGTCAGCAACCCGTACACCTCCAGCGCAAAAGTCAACCACGGCCATGTTTCAAAGGCTCTGATTCATCCACGTGGGTGCTTGTTGTTCAATCGTTGTTTGGCTACTGGCTGCTGACCTTTGATCTCCCACCTGCTGAATGAATTGAGTCCCTGGGTTAAAACAAAGAGCCTATGACAGTTCTAAGGGAATACCATAGTCTACACAAAGTCATCTTTGGACTACTTCTCAGTTAATTTTTTTTAATTTAAAAAAGTCTGATTAAGACAATAATAGAACATAATTTGCAATCGGTCAGGAAGGCAAGTGGCCCCAAGAGAGGAAAGAAAATGATAATAAAGGGATGCTGTCTCTTGGCAAGCAGCCCAGAGACAAGGCTTAAAAGCGTGACAAATAGGCTACAGGTTAGAATCTTCCTCTTCCAAGCTGGAACTATTTGGAAGGCATACAGTAGCCTGGGCAAGAGACTAGCTGACTCTTTAAAGGATCCAGCTCAGAGTCCACGGTGGTCCTCGGACTGATGAAGGAGACTGGAGACATCATAGTAGGAGTCCAGCATTTTAGAACCTTGAGTAGACCTACTACTTCTACCCCTTCATTTGACATGTGAGGGAACTGAGGTCCAGTGAAGTTAAATGACTCTCCCAGGGGAACACAGCTAGACAATGATACACCCAGAATGAGAACCGGGTTTCCAGTTGCCAGCTCAGAGGCTCTTCCTCCAGGCACACAGCCTCTCCAGTAGACAGAGTACCCGGGGTGAGGGGGGGTGTCAGGGTTGCGGTCACAGAACCACAATGTTCAGTGAACTTCAGTTGAGAACGCTTCTCACAATAAGCCTTGGAGGAGAAAGACCTTGCCTGAGCCAGCTGAAAAAAGAGACTGACAAAGCCAGTAAGCATTGACTACGTTTCTGGGGTAGAAGGATGCAAGAAAGATAAAAGGTCAAGGAAGCAAAGCCTGTTTAATTAAACTGGTGACCACGCCCACCTAATCCCGTCAGAAGGTGAGGCAGGTCTAGTCAATACCTAAATACTAACAGTACTGCTAACAAAAACAGAAGTTAAAAGAAAACCCTTTTACTAGAATACTTGTAAATATCATCAATAATAGTAATAGTGATAATAATAATAACTTTTTTTTATAAAAAAAAAACCCAAAACACTTCAAACTGCATCTTACAAACACACACGTGGTGAAGAAACGCTTGTTTGTGTGGCTGAACATGAATCACGGTCTTCCCTGCAATGCTACAGCTTTATTCCCAGAGGGTGACCAGACGGGTACCCTCAAGGAATAAGGAGTCTTAGTTATTTCTCTTTTATACTTAGATTCTCCACTTCCCTGATACAAACAGTAACACTGGTTCTACAAGTTCTAGAAATAGAACACCGATGGGGAGGATTATCTGAGACACTTGATGCACACAGTTTGTAGCAAAAGTCTGTGATTTCTCTGTAAATTACTAATCTGAAATAGACACAACAAACCGTCCACAGCTTTAACTTCAAATGATTTAAACAAAAATAGAACGAGCCATGGACAGTGTCTGCATCCCTGTCCAATCTGATGTAAACAACGTTTGTAGAAATTGGGTTTGTTAAGAAAGTTTATCCATATACCTGGATAGCAATAAAAAGCGTTTCCTAGGAAACTGTAAGATCCTGTACCACACAGCATACAGCCCAACTAAGAGGAAAATTAGGTCGGTCTCTAAATTCAAGGTACAAATTTACACAATTGTCCTTAAGTCCTGTGATGATATCCACGTGCAGTGGGCATGTCTGTCAGCAGCTGCGTCTGCTTGCCTTCTCTCTCCCGCTTGTAGTCTTGCCTGTGAAACTCATCGGTCATGGTCTACTCTGGATTTCCTTCTCCACGGCGATGCCCTGGATGGCCACAGACCCCCAGTGCCTTCCCGTCCTTCACTTCCAGTCCCGCCATGGGTCAATACTGCCCTTCTGCTGCTAAAGACACTACGGTTTCATGCCTTCCCATTTCTTCCAGGACAGCCGCCAGCATGCTCAAGTTGCCGTCTGGGAAGTTCTGTGCTTCCCAGAGATCCAGGATTACGCCAGTCGGACTGGATTTGGTGGCAAAGTAATTCAAGTACCTGCAATTGGGAATGGGAAAGTGTGCTGAATGGTGAGATATACAGATCTGTTTTCTCTGCAGTTGGTACTCACCCCTTCTGTCTCTCCATTTATCTTTTAAGTCTCCGGGTCCCACTGGAGAAGCTGCGGTTTACAGTGAGCCATCCTAAATAACTAGCACACACTTAATTAGATCAGCCCCAGACAGGAGACGCGATGTTTAACTTTGTTAACCTCAACTCTGAGTAAGATAATTTAAGAGACGAGATGTCTATGGGTCATATCCTAAACAGGAAATCAAGACACTTATGTTTTCTTTCCAGCCCATGCTCTGATCATCTTTGACAGGTCATGCCATGTTTTGTGCTTGATAGTGATGGCAGCATTCCACAAAGAGGAGGCTCTTGAGGTCTCTTTATAACTCAATGTCAAGGCAGTGATTAGCATGTTAATTAAGCATCCAGGGGTAGGTCCTGCTCAACAGGAGATGAGGAAAGACAATTACTTTAAGTGAAGGGACATATTATTTACGGGGATTTAGCCCATCAGCTTTGCAAAGTGGATCACAAAACTCGATACTTAGCTTGTCAGAGAAGCCCCCCGAATATCTCTTAACGATGCGCTTGCAAGACTATGGTGTAAGATACAAAAAAGAAGCTTCACACAGGTTTGCAGAATGAAAAGTAAATGGATGGATAGGAAAACCAAACGAAACAAAAACAAAAACAACTCAGAAAAACCAAACGCTGCCCTAAGTCTAACAGTTACCAGCCGCAGAGCTCTAAGTCTAACAGAAACCAGTCCTGAAGCCTGGCCACACCCACCTGTCCAGGTTCAGCTTATGGGCCAGCATCCTCCAGTCATGCCCTCTGGTCTGTGGGGCGTCCAGGCTGCTACAGAGCTTCTGCCGGATAGGGGGAGGGATGCTGAAAGCACTGGGGCCCGTCATGGTGGTGATGGTGTTCGCCGGGTCCAGCAGAGGCAGATCGATGCCAGTGGGTTCCTGTAAGTTCAGGCACAGGAACAACACAGCATTATTTCCAAAGACAAAAGCAAGCTCTGTTGAACCAATCGACATAATGCCTTGCTTTGAACAGTTAGAAGAGAATGAGTGCTATTCTTCTTCTTGGTAAGAATGGCTTCTTCCCGGCCGAAAGCTGTGACCTGGCTGAGAAGAAGAGGGATGTGCTGGGCTGACTTTGCACAGCCTTGGATGTATAGGTTTCCACTATGGACTGGGCTGGGCGAGTTGGGACCTCTGGTGTGATACAGTAACGGCTTTTCTCTCATCCTTTTCAGGATGAAGGAGGAGAGAGGACTATCCATACTCCTAAAGGGTTAGATTTCAAGAGAGGAGAAATGTTCAAAAGGGCAGTTCTTTGAGAATGAACAGATCTGAGATTAGAAGGCAGAGCTTCTAGAGACTGTGTGACCCTGAGGGGAATGCCCTGGGCAAATGCCCAAGTCAATTCTCTCTCTCTAACGTCTGCAGAAGAAGAGTTGGTTCCGCGTTTGTCGAATGAAATGGAACACAGCCCACCTCCAAATGATATCAAATTAAGACTAATTTTTTAAAGAAAATGGCGAACACAGTGGATTGCCTTAGGGCAAGCGCTAATGGCATCCTCCAATTGCTGTACACCCTTATTTTTGTTAAATCTAATTTTAGGAGAGAAAACCATAAAATGGCTCTTAAAATAGTTTCAGCTCATAAAACAGCACAAATGTGAAATCTGAATTTCATCTGCAGGAGAAACTCTAATCATTTTCTGATCACTTCTGCTGGTTGGAAAAGCAAAAGCAAATGTTGCCTGAGAACTATTAAAGCAATAAAAGAAAATCTACTTAATCTACTTTAAATGTCATCTCTCTCTCTCTCTCTCTTTAAAGCAGGTAACTTCTTGGTGTACATAATTAGTTGCTGCGGGATAAATTAGCCACGTGTAGTTTGAGTCATCATGAAGTCTCTGGTCCCGTGCAGCGTGCTCAGCTCAGGGGGTCAGTGCCACCCCTGCCCATAGCCCCCCAAACCTGGCTGCCCCGTGGGGATCAGCGGTGTTTCCCGGTGTAGACCGACGGCATGCTCTGTATTCTGGGGCTGACTGGCAAGGCTCACTGCTAGGCTTGTGTGATCCCGCCACACGGGGTCTCACCCAGGGGCTTGGAGGGCGCATTAGAGCAAAACAAATTCTTTCCTATAACACACGGGGGCGTTGTTGTTGCCGTCACAGTATTTGGCCTTAACCCCACCCCCCAGCCCCCGCCGGCAAAGTGAGCCTCTGAGGACTCCATGGGCTCCTCCGTGTTAACTCCAGCACATGCCAGTTAAAAGACTGGTACGAATGAAACACATCAGCACTAAATGGGGGTTGGAGTCCCCGGATGGGGACGCGGCCTGCAGCTCATTCCCCGCACCCGGCAGAGCTCCTTCCAAGGGACCCCGAGGGGAGAGGGCTTCTGACCTCCCGGGCACAGGGCTCAACAAGGGGGCCCAGAAGAGTGACGGCGGGGGCAGGTGGTGGTGTTTATCAACGGATTTGCGTTGGGGATTTCTGAACCAAAGCACTTCATCGCTTGTATTAGGCAAAAAAAAAAAAAATGTGTGCAAAGGGTTGGGGAGGTGGAAGTGAAGAGAAATTACATGGTATTTCCCCAGCTTGGTGCCATCACTCAGGCTATCCTTCCTATGGGGACAGTAACGACAGGGCCTAGAAGGAAAGCCCCCATGTCCCCAGATGTGACCGTCCCTTGCTGGCTGTGAAGATTAGGTCTGCTCAGGGAGCGTCTGCTTTGTGGAGCTCTGACTTCTGTCCCCAGAGATTCTTCTTGCTGCTGCAAGAGCAAACAAGTCTCTAAGAGATACTAAAGAGCATCTCCTTACTGCTTGCCTGTGGTCTATCCCAGTCTGTCAGACTCATCTTCCCAAAGTGTCAGACTGATGTTTCTCCTTTTCTCTCTCTTATTAATATATAGAAGCCTTAAATGCTCCTTCTACCACACGGAGTCCCCACTTTTAATTACACAGTGCGGGATATTAGCACCATCTGCCTTATTGGCTGGTATGAGGCCCCAGAGCTGATGCTTAGAGAGTGCAGAGCCGGGCCTCACATGGAGTAGGGGCCCCATCCCCCTGTGCTCCGCTCCCTTGACAATCTAACCCATCCCTTTCTCCTCTTGCCTGGACATGACTCAAACTCATCTCAGACTGGACCGCTCACTGTCCCTAGCGTTTTTTTTTTTAAGACTCTACCTCTCATAGTTCTTCTTTCCCTGAATCCCTGTAAGGCAAACCTCCCAAAGTCTGGACCAAAGACATGTCCCTGGGACTCCCCTGAGCAAACCCACCCAAAACCACCAACCGGGGACCTCCGGCAGCACTTTTCCCGGTCCACACATTCTGCCTGCCCTAGGCATGTTGGCCATATTTTTGTGTTTACTTCTTTTGATTGCTCAAATTTCTCGGAGATGAAAGTATTTTTGTCATCCTCAGAACCCTATGATACTCAGCACAGTGCTCTGCACACAGAAGTTCCTCAAGTCATACTTGTTGAAATGAGAGAAAATAGGTTTCCTAGTACAGAAGGAGTATAAAGCTGCCTCCTGATAGAAGCCCACCCCACTGACTCATGTTGAGCTTCCCTCCAAGTAAACGTGACTAATAATATGGCTCTTCTCACCATTAAATCCTGAAGTAAAGGCCAGGTAAAGGCAGGCCTGCCTCTCAGGAGGGTCTGCCACATATTCATGTTGCCATCCTTTTCCTGGTGAGTAAAAACCCTCACCACTTCATGTGGGCCTTTGAGGCCCGAGTCACCAGCCCTGACTACTGTGCCTATTTCTTTGTGGATGCAGTAAGCCCATTAGGGCATAATTCCTTGTCTCTCTTATCAGATGGATGACAACGGGCTTGGAGGTAAAAGAAAAATATACATTTACATTTCATCTAAAAATTTCAGTTGCTATTAGTTCTTCCTTTCCTTCCAGGTAAGAGTAGAGTTTATTCTTACAGAATGCTTATTACAATAATCGTTTGTGATATCGGTACCGTCTGTCTCTGATGCCACGATTCTCTCAGTTAAACATATGATTTTTCAACATTAGCCCAACAGCTGCTGTGGGTGACTGTGCACATTTTCAGCACTGTGTGGGAGTAACAACTTTCCACTCCCGTGTTCTGACTCTCCTTCCTGAAGTCACCTCAAAAAACTAGATTTTCCTAATAGTTGTTTAAACAGGCTATAGAAAACTGAAGAGTAAGTAGATGGGATAAGTTCAACAGGCTGATGTTACTTTGCGCATTTTAAGTATTATTCTTCATGTACAAAAAGTGTACAGAAAGTGGTTGTAAGGTCTCGCAAATGTGGGAAACTATAATTGTTACTTTTATCTGGGAATCAGTCAAACAAATGACTAATACTGCCTCCCGAAGTTCCACCTTTTCCAGGGTTCAAAGCTATGAACTAAAGCAAGGTGTGATCAACCAACTTGGGAAGACAGCCATCTTCTTTACTCTGGGAACTAATATTTATTCATTTACTTATTGAGATTTATTTTTCATTCCTTTATTTTGATAGTGGCTGACTGAGGTTTTATTTTACTATTTTGATAGAAAGGGAATCTAAAGTTCACTTTGATGACAGATCCACAGACTGTAGAGGCAGAGTTTACTCAAGAACTCAGTAATCCTAACAGCATCAACGGGACCAATAATGATGAACACTGTCTGAACATGGGCCGTGAGCCAAGTTCTGTTCAGTGCACTCACTAACATTCACTCATTCGTTTCTCACAAAAGTTCATCCTTTATTATCGTACCAATTTACACATGACGAACCTGAGGCGAGAGGGGTGAAGTGACTGCCCATAGCCCTGTGGACCTGTCCATTTGGGAATTTCCTACCATAGGTCTCTGTGTATGGCTGCCACTAAGTAGAAGGCCTGACGAGACTTTAAATTTCCCTCTCTTCTCTACACTGTTTTTTCTCTTGTTGATGGGTAGCTTCACTGTTATTACTACCCCCATAGCCCTCTTAAAAAAATAAAATAAAATTTTTCATTATTTACATTTGGGCGTGCATTCATGCCCCTGCTTTTATTCTTTCAGACATTTTCATTCTTAAACTCCATCTCTGTGAGACTAAAGGCTTTGTCTCTTGTTAAGGAATCTCTGGCCAAAGCACCCAGTAAAGAACAATTGGCCGACTCTTGACATCCCCACGGTCTATGTCAAGCACAGCCTGGTCTCCCTGGGGGGCAACAGGTCCTTCCTGACTAGAGAGGCCAAGGGCCATGGCTTTATAAATGACTGCTGGTGAGTGCCTTGAGTGGTGGGTGGCTGGGGGGAGGGGGCAGCACATTCCTGGCAAGTCAGCTTGTTCTTGGAAGAGAGCACTTTGGAACTGCAACCCCAGGCCACCTGCCAGCTAGCCTTGTGACCCTAGGAAGGAGGCCCGTGCAGGAGAAAGACACCACAAATGGCGTCTTTTCTCTGTTTGGTTACGGTTTGTCAGTCACAGTGTACCCCTACTCGGAGCTTTTGATGAGGATCCGGGGCTCAGGGCTCTCCAGAATCAATTGTTCAGAGCTGAGCCTTGTTCCTCAGCATCAGTACCCAGCTCCACACGTCCCCCCTCTGTGGGCCACATGCACCCGCATTCAAATGCTAACCATAGCGGTGGGACTCGGTGACCCAGAAGTAAAGGCAGCAGAGTGCTCCATAATCCCCAAAGTCATATGACTCCAGTCATTTCTGCCCCTCCTTCAGAGAAATGTGCTTGTTTGTCACTCGCGGCCAAAGGCCTCCAGCAGGACTGACGGCTGGCCTCTCTGACTGCCACCAAGTTGCAAAAGAAATCATCTTTCCTTTACCTTGGCACAAGGATGAAAGTCCTTAAATGGTGATCACACTTTGCAAAACCGTCCTTGCCCAGCAATGGCCCTGATGGGGGGCGGGGGAGGCTGGGTGCAGGTGGTGGGGGCCACTGAACAGCTCCCTTTCACGTGAGGCCGCCGCGCCTCATCCAGCTTTTCATCACACAGCAAACGTTCACACTGAACTGAAAGCAAGCATCAAAGGAGCAGACATCCTCGCCCCCCCTCCAAAATTCCGCAGCCTTTGTTGTCACGGGAGCTGGGTGGTTATTGAACTTTGCAGACCTGCTGGGCCTGGAAAGTGAAAACACCCTCCTGAGCCAGCAGGGGTGGTGCTGTGTGCCTGGGAGATAGGGCCTGCGCCTTGGAGGGCCGGACGGTTGCCATGGCTCTCTGACACCGAGATCATTCCTTATGAATGTCACCAGGGTCTGTGACTAAAGTTGTTTATGAGTCAAAAGTCTCATGGAACTACAGCAGGAAATGGTGGCCGTGGCTCTCGGCAGGCTGTGGGAAAGAAGGATGGAGCGTCCTGGAGCCCGACATGCTTTCCCCCTCCTTGGTTTGCCAAGGAAGACAGTCTTTAAATACAACAATGGAGCACGAAACACACCGCAGACAGTGACATTTCATTCGTCACTGTGCATGAGACAGCGAGGGAGAGAGTCTTTTAAATCATCGACTGTCCCACTGTAGCTTTAAAATATATGACAGTCCTGCACTTTGTGGTTCAGCCAGGGGCTCGAGCTTGGCTGAGAGGCCCCGGGAAATGCTGCCTTCTGACCATTTGGCTTACTCTCTTTTTCCTTTGTTCCTCCAGTGTGGAGGTTTCTGCTGCACAAAAGGAGGATGGGGAGAACACGGGGCACCAAGGGATGCTTCGAGAAAAGTGACTCCATGTACACACCACTTAAATTCTACCTTGCACTTGAAATTCGGATCGGTCGTAAAAAGTTAGAACATGATCCTTAAATTCATGACCTAAAATAGAAAAGGCTTATTTTTCAAAAAGGATTTCCTATTATATTCTTTTCTATATCTTGCTCCGTGTTCATTAAAAATATCACTCTATTAATAAGTAGGACCTATACCAAGCGTTTCAGGACTTCCCCCATGGCCTATGTTGAGACACCTTTATCCTCCACATGCCCCTCTCCTTCGCAAGGTCATTGTCCCCCCTGATTTCTGGGGCAGGCAAGAGCTTCTTACCTCTGACACGGTGCAGTTGAGCTGGAAGATCTGCCCTTCTCCTTCCACCTGTCGCACGCAGAGTTTGCAAACCAGCTCCACTGTGTTCAGGCTAAATCTTTCCAGGGTGAATGTGCAGTGGAGGTTTCTTTGAGACCCACTCCAGATATGATAAAATGGAATCTCCTAAAGGATATAACCATGTTAACCGCCGATGAGGGACTAACACCAAAAGCAACTCTCAGACACTGCCTGCCAAATACTTTTCTCAGGAGTACATGTTACCTTATTTAATCCTCGAGAGAGACGCCCGTGCATAAGGACATCCCAACCCACTTTTCGGATGAAAAAACAGAGGCCCAGAGATGTTAAATACCATCTCCCCCACCCCTCTCCAATCCCACAGCTAGTAGTAGCAGAGCTGAGATATGAACCCAGGGACTCAGCCTCCAGAATCTATATACCTAACCAGTCTGCCACTTCTCCGTCATTTATAAAAGAGGCCATCGGAAGTGGGTTTTCAAAAGTTTAGCGAATTCCCAAAATAAAACCTACACACTCCAGTCATTGCTCATTAAAAGGAATCCCTGCCGTGGTGTTCTGGAGAAAAGCAAAGAAAGTCTAAAGAATAAAGCACTGACCCAGTTCCCTTTCATGCCTATGTGCTCCCTCTACACAGGACGGGGAAAACCAAAACTCACTGCAAGCGGGACACTGGGGGCCCCGATGAGCTGCCGCAGAAAATCCTTGGCCTAAAAAGCACCAAGCCTCTAACAGACATACATTTTCTAAAAGTCTGGACCACCTTAAAGAGCCCATCCTAGAATCTTATTTCCATAAAGGAAAGAAAAGGTTGATACACTAAAAAAAAAAAGAAGTGGGAGAATATGTTGGTTAAGAACAGAGGCACTGGAGCCCAATTCAGTATAAATGAGAACACCCTCGCCTTGCTGACTTGGTGTTGTGGGGGTAAGTTAACCTTCCCATGCCTCAGATTCCTTATCTGTGAAAAAGTAAGCAAAAGAGTACCTAATCATAGACCTGCTGGGGTTAAATGAGATAAATCAAAGTGCACGGGTGTCTGGCAGATGGTAGGAATTCAGTCAGGTTTGGCTTGAACTACTGTCAGATTATCATTATTATTAAAATAGTATTTTCCATTCTGATTGCACAAAGGATACTGTTCATAAAAGGGAAAGATTTATGGGGTTTTATGGCAGTTGCTAAAGAGGGGAGAGAAGAAAGCAAAGGGAAAGATTTCAGGAGAAAGTCAAAAGCCAGATCCCTCTACCGAGTGCTGAGTTAAACAGAATAGTCTGGTAGGCACCCCCTATGAAAGCTCCCGAGTGTTAGCAAGCTAGGAAGTTTGTTTCCCACAACTCATGTGTAAGTATTAGACCTACGAGACTAAGAATGAGCTGGAAATCTTCCCTTCACTCTTAGTATGTTCACTGACTTCTATCAGGAAGTCACAGCCTGTGGAGCTGCGGTGCTGGGGTGTGGGATTGGATTCTCATGCGTATAGACATGGACTTGCAGCTTATCGAAGTGTGTCCGCATCTCCTGAGACTGGGTATGAGGCTAGAGATCCCGTCGCACAGCCTCCTGGGAGCTCAGGCTCAGAGACATTGGGGGCGGGGTGACAACCCCTTGGAGAGGCCTCTGCTTTTCCCATGTGTCCATGTAGTGAGACTTTGGACCAGTATTTTTATGCTGTTATCTAATAAAATCCTGATCAGACTTTATTTGTAGGTGCTATTTCAATTTCCAAATTGGTGTTCGTTCTAGGTTTTCGAGGTAAAGGTATTTTCCTAGCAAGGCTGGGGTCTAATTTGTGGTACGGGGGGTAACACTGTTCTTCCGTTTTCCCTCACGAAGGCATTTTTGAGGTTGTTTTTATCAATTCAGTGTTAGCATTTATTCTGAAAACGAATTGAAATGATGGACTTGGAAGTCCTTTTTCTAAAAATAAAATAATGACAGTACAATTATTTGAAGGAGAATTAAGAAAAAAAATTCAAATATTCTGGAGTATTTTTCAGAAATCCTAAATAACTCTATACCATTTTAGAGAAACAAGTACTGTTACAGAATTAATTTCAAGGAAAGGAATATCTTATGTCTAAAAAATTTTAGACTTCTTTCTTGGAGCTGTCCCCCTCCAATCCTTTGGTTCAGCTCCGGAACCTTACCTGATATTTCGCCAGCAATTTACTTTTCCAGAGGGAATGGGTGATATCGTGAATCGACAGGCGCAGGTTGTGGGTGCTGCCTTTAAAATGAAGAGCCTTAGGTTCTTCTAGGAGCTGTCCTCCCATCTGTCTCTCAAGCTGCATTACTTCCTACAATGACATGCCCGAAGTCAAAAGCGAATCACTGAAACGTATTACTTCCCCTGGCTGGCTCTCTCATCAAATGAGCAGGTTTCCTCACGGCGCCTCCCCCACATCACAACTAACTCGTGCAGACTCCCACTTCTGCAGCCTGGAGGCCCGCCAACGTAAGCCCCTGCTGGTTTGTGTGTGACTCAGTTCCCCTGACCATCAACTCCCTTTCAGCAATCTGCATCATATGTTGTGAGGCAAATTCAGTACAGTCTGCATCTCCCGATGGACAAGTGGGAGATTTAATCAAATCCTGGAAAATAACAATCAGAACCCCGAATGGAAAGAACTCCAAATGAAAGAAAAAACAAGCAAAAATATAAACAGTTAACGTAAATAGATTTTCAATGAACTTTTAGGGAAAAGGGCAAATCACTAGAAAGACTTGGCAAAACCAGCCAACAAGTAAAGATTTGGAATGCATTTGGCGCATTTAAAAAAAAATTGTAGTTCCTTTACCTACAGAAATAATAACATTTTTGCTTAAAATTCTCCATTGCATAATTCCCAATTATCAAAAACTAAAATAAAATGTCCTATTAGAGGAAAATATACTGATATAGATTAGGAAGGTCTGTCAGCACCAAATACTGAACTAAACAGTTATACTCAGATTAAATCCGGAAAAGAATACCTCATTTTTCAAGAACTGTGGCTGATCAAAAAATTTGCTATGTAACTTTACTTATACTATAAAGATGTACACATGAAGACAAATTCTAAATATACTTTCATTCCTCAGACAAGCTAATGGGAGTTAACGAAGCATTTCCAAATACAGCTGTAATTACCCAGACAGCAAAAACCCTAAGTTATCAATGAACAAAATATGCTGAGTCTCCTTTGTTGTCAGAACCATCCCTGTGCACTTTGGTTAGCTCCTGTCCTGCTTTAAAAGTTTTAGTGACACTCATGTGTAGGCAATTTGTGACCTTTCTTTCTTTTTTTTTAAGGGTTCAGGAAAATAATGGATTTTATAAAAATATAAAAGGAAAACACGATCTTCTTTTTTGGTGACATTTCAGTTGGAAGCATGGGGTTCAATAACACGGGCGCCCATTCGGGTCATTCCACACACATGTATTGGACACCTACCAGAGTACCGAACGCAGATGGATCATGGCGGAGATTTGTGAGTATGGGAAGCAGACTGCCTTTTACCCAGAAATACATCCACTATGCATTTGTTGAATGAATTCTAACTCATGCACATATAGCCCAGTAAGTGCAGAGCTTACCAACATTGATTAGGTGTAAATAGCTCATTTCTAGCTGCTTCTTAGTGGTTCTTAGCATTCATCATCTTTGAGTCAGGCCACTATTCTGAACAATGCAAGCCGCTGAAAGGTCCTACAAGGTGTAGGAAATATTAGGATAATATGGAATATGGTCTCAGACATGGATTCCTCTAATTAGTGTTTCACGGAAGAGATGAGGCAGTAATGCACTGACGGAGAGACGGGCAGGGTCCAGCTGCTTTGGAATATTTACACTGAGAGGATTCAACCTCGCTGGCTGACGAGTAGCTATTACTTGTGACAGGAGACTGAGCAGTCAGCCGACCCCCAGCCAGCCAGTCGGCTACCGGGACACATATGTTGTGCCCTGGCTCTGTGTGTCTACAGCTCAGCAGGCTCTTGAGGGTCCCCAATAAGCCATACGGCTCTACCCAACCCAGAGTTGCACATGTTCTTCGTGGAACACTTCACACTCCATTCCTCGACAAGAATCTGGCCATGTGGAAATGAAGATGAATAAGAATAGTGAGGGTTAATTGCAGTTTCCTCTGCTTCAGCAGCAAGGCATAATGTAGCTTATGTTGATCATGTTTGGTGTCTAGTTAGCATAATAGAGAAAGCTGATGTTCCCAGTGAACCTGGCACCTGACAAATTCTAAAGCTAAAATGATGTTTGTTTATAAGCCATTAGAAGAAAAGAAACATAATTAGAAATCTTTGAGATTACAGTCATGCCAATCAATCAGTTCTAGCTTCTTTCCAGTACACCCTAATTACCTCATCAAGACGTCTAAAGAGCAATCGATAGTAATTATCTGATTACTATAGATCTTCATTATGTCCAAATTTTCTCCCTGGGATGTCTAAAAGAAGATGCATTGTATTCTGGGAGGAAATTGTACCCAACAATGTATAATCCACACCCCATTCCTACAATCAACATAGACTGCCAGAGGATACGGAGAACATTATCAGTTTTCTTGGCAGGGAGGACCATTGAAAAAAACCTAAACTGCCTATTGGCCATGACCTTGAAGTCAAGAAATCTAATACCACATTTGAATGCAAAGTCTGGTTTGGAGTCAGCCCAAGAATAGGCCTCAATCCTTGCTTGCTACGGCACTGACCTCAAAAGGCATGATTAATAAGAGTTCTCACTCGTGGGGATAGATGGCATTGGCTTCAGCCTTTTTTGAAAGTACGAAGTAAAATGCCATTTTATTTTATATTATTTTATTTAAAAGATTTAAAGATTTATTCATTTATTTTAGAGAAAGAGAGTGGGGGTGGGGAGGGGCTCGATCTCATAACCCCAAGACCATGACCTGAGCCAAAATCAAGAATTGGACACTTAACTGACGGAGCCAGCCAGGTGCCCCAGTAAGATGTCATTTTAAAGATAATGGAGGTAGAGAACACATCTCCATATTCTTAAGCTCTCTGTTTTTCCACCAACCAGGAATGACAGAAAGCTGCTGCACAGAGCTGGGAGGAACCTAACTTTTTTGTCCCCTTTGATTAGATATGAACCCTGGTGAAAGATAAACTGCCCATTGGGATGTACCCATGCTTACAGCAGAGATCCCTCTTCAAACATATCTGATTGCACATGCCTATCAGTCAAAAACACAGCATGCATTTTATGCTTCTTTATAAGTGATATACCTATATTAACACACCAGTAAATTACTGTATTACATTATAAAATATACATAAGGTTAAAAGTATGAGCTAAGATGAATAAACACAGAACTATTATTATCTTTTTGGCCCCCAAAGTTCACTGGGCCTGGGGTGTGTGAGGGCCATTTTGGAGACCACTGGCTTGGGCAGATGTCCTTTCCCTGCTACCTCTGGGAGAAATCAGCCCTGGAATAAATGATTCGGTAAGAAGAATCCTTATCAAACTTAGTTTTAATGTTCTTCCTGAGAAGTAGCAACTGATATCACACTCAGGATGTTCAACTTTAAGGAAACATAACAAAATAATGGAGAAGACAATAACCAAAGCACAAATTAAAAATATTAAAGTGAATTAAAAACATTGTAAGCAATAAGTAAAACACCTCCTTGGAAACTACAATCGTCTAAAACTACATGAGTCAGCGATGTCTTGACACATACAGCAAATCTACATACAGGTTTGAGCTTCACATGTTCTCTTACACACCAAGTTTTTCCAACAAGTACGGACATGACTGCAAATGTATTTTTTCTTCCTTATGATTTTCTTAATAACATTTTCTCTTCTCTAGCTTACTTTATGGTAAGAATACAGTGCATAATACATATAACATATGTGTTAATCAGCTATTTATGTCATAAGGCTTATGTCATTAAGGCTTCCGGTCAACAGTAGGCTATTAGTAATTAAGTTTTTGGGAAGTCAAAAGTTATATGCAGATTTTCAACTGCCTGGGGGGGTTGGTGCCCATAACTCCCATATTGTTCAAGGGTCAACTATATAAATTTTATACCAGAAGAGAGAAGAAGCAAGCCCACTTGATACACCTCGTCAGGCTTGTGTTCCATATTGTTATGTTTTTAACTGTCATAATTTCAGATATGTTATAACAGATCCCACTTAAAATATATGCTGTAACTTATATTTCAAAAGGCTTGACTTTCTGAATTCCTTCTGCATGGAACCATTTTATATTACATATGATACAGAGAAGGAAGAGAACTTAAAAATAACACATGTATGAATCGGTAAGATATAGCTCTACAGTTAAATGCTTTCCTCTCCTTCATCTTCCCGAGAGCCTTCATTCAACATTGGTACAACGCACACACCCTGCCGGGAACCGGGTCAGGCTCCGGGCCACACAGAAGAGTCCCTGACCCTGCCTCCTACCACTCACGGAGGGGAGAGCACCAGGGAAACACGTGACCCCAACACTGTGCACTCGGCTCTAAGACAGCTTCCAGACAGCTGCTTTTGGATCACACAGTTAGGATATTGCACGCACCTTAGGACAGAATAAGAACAAAATACAATTAAGGTCAAAAGACTTAGACTTCAGAAAAATATAGTGACCTCGGAAAGAAATGCCATCATAGGAATCAGGATCATCTAGAGTCTTTGTTCTCAGAAATATAAATGTCACCTTCCTTTGCAAAGGTTGTTCTCCCTCTTGGCAGGTTCCCCCCTCAGGGCCCTGTTTTGGTTCTGGGTGACTCTACCTGTTGCTTCGATGAGCTTGCTCTGCTTCTGCGAGAAGGGGTCACTCCCTGACTTCCTTTGTTACGTCTATCTTCACCCCCGCAACTTGACCTTGAAAAGACTCTCTCAGGAGTCAGTTAGTAACACATGCAAGACCCCAGTCGTAAAGCCACCAGGAGCAGGCCCCGGTGTGTGTGAGTCTGGTGCCAGGATTGAGCAATCCTGTAGGATGGCTGCTTCCCCCAGCTCAGTGGCTGCCCAGCGCAGGCTCTTTGGTGGCCCTGAGTGAGGGCTGTATCGATTCAGGCGGCCTGTGAGGGATCGCTCAAAAGGCAGGGACAAGAGATTTCACAGTAGAAACAAGCTGCTTTCACAATAACCAATTAAACCAAGACATTATCCATGCCAAGCCATTAGCCTGGGCCACTTAAGAGCCACAATAAATCGTGGCTGTTTTAAAGGCCTGTGCGTACGTACAAAGGGAGCACCTCTGGCCAGTACCCAGAACTCTCCCAGGCTCTTAGCGCAAAGGATCAGCTCTCATGGAGGTGGCA